GCCCGGAAACGCTTGGCTGTAGTGGCTGGGGCCAAAGGAGAGGTGTTTTAATAGTGTCTTGGGCTTCGCCAGGTGAAGTGCGTTGTGTGTGTGTTTAATCAGGAGAAACATCTGACATCAGACTAATTCATGGTGTCTTGGAGCTGATGTTTATAGCTACTTTGTGAAAGAATTTCACGGGTGAATTTCTTTGTGGAAGAACTTGATATATCCATATCTATCTCTCTAGATCTATATATGTATATAGAGAGAGATATATAGGTTTTTTTTTTAATTCACTGTTTGAATTTCCCAAGTGGTTAAACTTAAAATTCAACAAACACCCTAAAGCTTATAAGTTAATTGAATTACTTTCAGCCAATACTTATTGGCATCTTCCATCTTCTGAGGTGAGAGAACATGAACAGTATTAATCTAGAAGAATGGCACAAATGCACCTACTTCTAGCAAACTGCTTGCGGGTTGTTGGTGAGCAGGAAGTTATTCCCTGAAGAAATTCATAAATGTTCTTGAATGTGAAATTATAAAGCCTTACGTGATACTGTTTCCATGTTAATGGACAGAAGAAGGTTACATTAACTAAATAACCAAGCATTGTTCTCTCTGATTTAATTATAAACCAGTTCTGTTTTAAGTCCCTAAATCCATGATTTTTTAGGTGATGCGTGCGTCTACTTAGGTTGACCTAACGCTGTGTGTGCTTGAACACACAGGTAAGTCAAATGCAGTGCTAGGTGTGACTTTGTGTGTGTATGTTTTTAATAACTGTAGATCAACAAGCCTGAGAAGCTGGACAAGCCAGAGAGCTGTGATAACGTGAAGGTTGTTGTCCGATGCCGGCCTCTGAACGAACGAGAGAAAGCTACAGGCTACAAGATGGCAGTCAACGTAGATGAAATGAGAGGAACTATAACTGTTCATAAAACAGACTCATCCAATGAGCCTCCCAAGACGTTTACGTTTGACACTGTTTTTGGACCAGAGAGTAAACAGCTAGATGTCTATAACTTAACCGCAAGACCTATTATTGACTCTGTCCTAGAAGGATACAATGGTAAGTCCTGTGTTGTTTTAAGATGAAAATCCTGCCTTGTATTCTTTCTGTTATTATTGTTCCTGC